ACATACCTATATACAGGCTTGATTTATACACTAATTTTTAAGTTTACCATGCTCTAGTATTGCAATGCACACTGAAACTACACATAACTGTATTACCTTTATATAGCTCACTGAAAACAGAATTTTGAAAGCAGATTATTCCCCCCATATTATTGCTCGCTCCATGAAGCTTGATTTTAAATCAAATGAGGAAACTCAAACTTCTCATGCACAGAACTAAACGAGCACAATCATGATGTTATGAAAGCTTGAGAGGTTGGATTTTTCTTCAATTAGTAAGGGCTGCCTCAAATTACAGCCAAATGTGGTAATGAAAAGGTATATTGCTATTAAAAAATTAGCACTCCATGTAACCCATGCACTCGTGGCACACTAAAACTGCATGCAACTCGGGATATGAGAAGGAAGAGTTGTTAATTTTACTGACCTTTGATTAAACTACTAATAGGACCGATGTATTTTACCAACTCTCCTAGAATGGAAAAGGAGGAAAGTTACCATAGCTGCAGTCAGCCCATCCACCTGCCTCTGCAAACTTCTTTCACTTATTTAGTATTACAAACAAGGTCAGAGTATTGCTCCTTAAAACTAAAAGGCCAGAACAGCCCCACAGAGGTAGGGAATAAGCACTCCAAACCATGGCAGCTTAAGCCCTTCTCACCTCATTAATTTTGAGTAAAATTTTCCATGTGTAACAGGTAAGTGTCACCTTCATTATTTTAGAAAATAAATACTCCTGGGCTAAATTTGACAGGAATATTCACAGAACTGCTTACCAGTTACCTGGGTACCTGTTTCAGTTCACAGCTTAGCAGCTACTCCACCAAACAATTGCATTTAACAATTACTTAATGCAAGTTCACTTTCAACATCGGTCTAAAGCCCCGCACACAGGCCAGCCCCACACCCCCTTGATAAGCGCAGTTCAATTATGTTTCCTGTCGGATGTTAAGCTCATATTGCTACAGTGTAATTAAATGTAGCTTGAGCCCCAGACTAAACTGATGGAAGACCCAGGAGCTGCTCTGCCGCAGTCTCCGCTTGGTCTAACTTCGCATTATGACTGTCAAACACAAATAATCAGAATAAAAAGTCATCTGGAACGAAGGTTTACTCCGTTTGCAACGGAGTTTCTGTTACTGGAAGTGGAGAGGAACGTTTAGGAAGGTTTTCTGCAGTAGCCAATTTCTTCTAGCCCAGAGAGTATTGAACACAGGGCTGCCTGTACTCTCCATTCTATTACAAAAACCTAATCCCATCGCATGACCTGCAGCAATTCAGTTTAACAAATCAACAATTACAAATATTTTGGCAAAGTAAGCTTAGGTATTGTTTGCCTCTCGGCACAGTTCACAACCAGTTTATGGCTTTATGATAAAAGTCATTAAATCCAATCTGAAAAGCAGAATTTACAGCTCACTTAGCAAGTCAGGCCCATAAATGGATGCTTTCAATTACAGGGCATTTACATGTACAACCATTAAGGCAGCACTGAATACATTTGAAAACTCTGGAATACTTTTTATAATAATTAAAACTTTGAGTACTGTTCTTTGTACAAACTAAACTTAGGAATTTGCTTCAGTCTCAAGCAGAGCTCAGGTTCATTGTTATCCAGAACCTACTACAGAGCCTGTTCTCCCAGTACTTTTGTGGGAAAGGGATTAGAGAGATGGAAACAAGGTTTGTTTTTTAAAGTTGCTCTCAGGAGCAGGGATTTTTTTTTTTTTTTTTAACCTCCAATAAACTCAATTATATCAACTAGTGCTCAACACTTCTGAAAGATCAAATGGAAGAGGAAGAGGAAGGAGGACCCAGGAGAGCCTTTCATTTGGAGATCAGCTGTGCAATTAATTTTGCTGGTGAACCTAGCTGCCAGGTGGAGGAAATGCAGTGATCAGCTCAGAGAACAATTTTTTAATCTCACTTTTTCAACTCTGGTGTCCCTTTCACCATCAATCGGGACCTCACTGAAAGCTGATGAATTCCTCTTCAGGGTTCTATCACACAAGTCCAGCTTCTTCCACAAAGAAAACTGGATCTTCAAACACTGCCACTTGTGTGGGTCAGGTTACACCGACAGCCACCGAAACAACTGCAGAACAACCACCAACTGCCAGGTTACTCTATTTAACATCCCAATACGATGATCAATATGCGCTCAGACTCATCTTTAACCTTAAACCACCTTAAGCGAGACCCTCCCTTTCCTCTTTTTAAAGGCATTTGTAACTAGTATTATCTTTCATCACTCCCTAATCTTCCTTCGCGAAGCCCAGCCATGATCTTTCATCACAACAGTGCTAATCAGAGGGGGACGAAGGGACTGCAGACGCACCTCCCTTAGTTACATTCTCACCCCCCTGGGATTCATCAGAGCTTGTAAACGTTACAAGTTTTAAAGCTGCGCCTCAGAACAAGCACACAAATAACCCCCTCACGCACCAACAGTGACACAGAAGTATTGGAAAGTCCAAACAGCAACCCTGTCCTGAGAGGAGCCTTCCACCTCAACTAGGAGGTGTTTCTTTCTCAGCCTGGAGAGCAGAGCAAGGACTAATCAGTCTCTCACTACGGTCCAGCCCCCACAGAAATAATGTCATGAATCAGCCTGAAAGTACAGCTCTCCAGGCTAAGAGAGGAGCACTTGAGAAAAGACAAACCTGCTGTTACCTGCGGTCTCCTAACAAGCTGTTATTACAAACCTCTTGCTACAGATGGAATCTAACTCGTTTATAACCATGGGCTGTGATAACATGAGCTCTACACACAATACACACAAGGTGCAGCGCTTTCAGAGGCACCTGTCTTGGTAAACCCAGTAAACAAAACTTTTTCTTAGTGCCATCCCACTTGCAAAGCGTTTGAAAAGGGCACAACACACGTGTTGGGCTTTTCTCAGTCAAAAACTGTGACAGACAACCAAAAAGACATGAGACCTGAATCCCATTCAGGCTGCAGTCTGAATCCCAGCTGTTCAACAGCTCTCCCAGACCACCACGAGGGCTCTTCGCTCACTCACATCACACACTTTTTCCCCTTCTTTTATTTTCCCACAGCAAAGACTAAAGGACCACACTGGGCTGCACGTTTCCCCTGCACTCCCCACAGAAAGGAAAAATAAAAACTACAAACAGGAACTCCACAGCAACACCACCAACCACTCGCATTTATCACGACACGACCTCCCCCAGGTAGACGAAACACTTAGCAGGTTATGTTTGTTTACAAACAACACCCAGGGAATGGGGGCTGCCACAGCTCCTCTGGGCAACCCGTGCCAGGGCCTCGCCACCCTCCCAGCCAGGAATTTCCCCCCAGTATCCCACCTAACGCTGTCCTCTGGCAGCACACAGGTGAATAAACCCACCGACCGCAGCTCGTGCCCCGTGTTCGCCCACGGACCAGGAGAGGGGCGGACAAAAGGGGTGAGATGAAGCCTCGCCATCCCAAAGCACAACTCGCTCCCAACTTTCCACACCCCCAACCTCGACGCCCCGCACCCCTCACGGGCACGCAGGGGTGTCCCGAGCCGGAGGCGACGATCCTCGCGGGTCCCTCTGAACTCGGGATGTTCCGCGAGCCCCTGCAAGGAAAACGCACCTGGCACGGAGGGAGTGGAGGGAGGAAGGCAAGGAACAGGGCGTGCTGGGGGGAGAGAAGGAGCAGCACAACTTCTCTACCTCCCTCCCTCCCACACACGCCCCGAGGGGCACAGCCTGGTTCTCCCCACCAACCCCGGAGCGGCTTATCCAGCCGGGAACAGGATAACCCATCCCTGTCCCCTCCGCAACAAAGGGGCTGCGGGCGCGGGGAGGCGCCCCCGGCCCCGCCGGCACCAGGCCCGCACGGTACCCCGAGGCCCGCGCAGCCCGCGGGGCAGTGACCCCCGACCCGCCACGCACCAGGACGCACCGGGAACCGCCGAGATCCGCCGAGAGCCGCCTGGAAGTGCTGCTGCCCTGCCGTGTCCTGCGCTCCCGCTGCCACTACCCGGGCACCGCGGGGCCGCCGCCTCTCCCCTCAGTTCTACCCTCCTGCGCCCGCCCCCCGGCACGCCCCGCCCCCGCCGTGAGGCGGAGAGCGCGCCCATTGGCCGCTCCTCCCGTGACTTCAAGATCCGCGTGGCCATTGGTCCGTGCGGACGATTGGCGGTCGGAGAGACCAATGGAAGACCAGCAGCGTAAAAAAAAAAAAAGATAAGGGAAGAAGGGGAGAAGAAACAGGCGCGAGGCGGGGGAGGCGGGGCGGGGCGGAGCGCTGATTGGTGGAGCCGGCTGTCACTCACGCCCGCCGCGGGCGGTTGATCGGAGAGGGTGAGGGTTTGGGTGAGCGGCAGGCGCGCAATCGCGCTGTAGAGCGAGTCCGTCTTCTTCCGCGGGGTGCGAGCTGAGTAAAGTAGTGCGCTGCTTCCCGGCAGGAATTCCCCCTGGACGTGAACCCAGGTGTGCCCGGATGGGCGGGAGGCCAATGGCCCCGGGGCTGTCCCAGCCGTGATGTGGCAGCAGGGCCAGGGCAGTGCCCTCCCTGTGCTGGCACTGCTGAGGCACCTCCAGTGCTGGGGCAGTTCTGGGCCCTCAGCCAAGAGAGACATTGAGGGGCTGGAGCGTGTGCAGGGAAGGGAACGGAGCTGGGGAAGGGTCTGGAGCAGCAGGAGCGTCTGAGGGAGCTGGGGGGGCTCATCCTGGAGAAAAGGAGGCTCAGGGGGGACCTTCTGGCTCTGCAACTCCCTGACAGGAGGGGGGAGCCGGGGGGGATCGGGCTCTGCTGCCAGGGAACAAGGGACAGGATGAGAGGAAACGGCCTCAAGTTGTACCAGAGGAGGTTTAGATTGGATTCTGGGAAAATTCCTTCATGGAAGGGGTTGTCCATCCCGGGCACAGCTGCCCAGGGCAGTGTTGGAGTCCCCATCCCTGGAGGGATTTAAAAGCCATGTGGATGTGGCACTTGGGGACAGGGGTTAGTGATGGCCTTGGCAGTGCTGGGGAATGGTTGGACTCGATGGTCTTGGAGGGCTTTTCCAACCTGAGCGATTCTGTGATTCCAAACAGATTTAAACTACCCAGTTCTTCCTCTCCTGCAGTGGCACAGCAGCCCCAGGCGTGACAGTCCCAAGGTGAGACATGGACAGAAGGGAGCCCAAAGCCTTCCCAGCCTCCTTCTGCTGCCTGCGCCCACCCCCGTACTCAGTGACACTTAACGGAGTGGCTTCCCCCCATATGTTTTTATTTTCTTATAGCTCCTGCCTTCAGTAGGCTCATCAAAGCTTGTGGTAATGATGTAGCACAACCAAATCCCTGTGCCTCAGTAGATGCCCAGGCTCACCACAAGTGAATTACCTGTGACTGCACAGCCAGGGACCCATCAGCAAGTGAAACCCAGCACTGTTTTATCTGCAGGGATCCTTGCAGGATGCCCAGCAGATTCCCTGGGACTGTTCAAGCCTGGAGAAGAGAAGGTTGAGTGGAGACCTCATTGCACCTTCCAGTACCTGAAGGGGAATACAGGGAAACAGGAGAGGGACTCCCTGTCGGAAACTGTAGTGACAGGACAAGGAGTAATGGGTACAGACTGAAAGAGGGGGAATTTAGGTTGGATATTAGGGAAAAATTCTTGTTTGTGAGGGTGGGGAGGCCCTGGCACAGGTTGCCCAGAGAAGCTGTGGTTGCCCCATCCCTGAAAGTGTCCAAGGCCAGGTTGGATGGGGCTTGAACAACCTGTTCTAGTGGAAAGTGTCCCTGCCCATGGCAGGGGGATTGGGACTGGGTGGTCTTTAAGGAAGCTTCCAACCCCTTAAAATTCCATGATTCTGTGAGTGGGAAGCCACAGGATGAGAGTTTAAGGGGCTTTTTTTGGACAAAAAGGTCAATTCCTGCTTTGCTATAAGTCTCTTAAAGGCATTCTGTTTTCTTGCTTTTGCTTTTTTGATATTTTTCCTTATTCTATGTCATTTATCTCAACTTCAGGCCACTTTTACACCTGAGGTAACGTCTCACCACCGTAGCAGTTGTCTCTCCAGAGACATTCTCCTCTTCCAGACTGAAAGGGTTCCTGAACTCAGTGATGTAGGTGTTGTGATTCAGTGTCTTGGGCACGGATCCCATCTCAACAGGGCTGGTATTCCCAGGAGCCAGGTGAGACACCCCTCCCATCATTTGGCCCTTCTGACAAATGGGTAGATGTGGACTTGTGGAAATCTCCCTTTTGCCTTTTTTCTGTGCTTGGATTTTCTCAGCTTGAAGCAGGCATGTGGCTGAATGAGGTTTTTTTGATTGCATTTTCCCTGCTTTTCCATCATTTTGAGATTCAAACAGTTGTGAAATAAGCAAAGAAGTGAAATGGAGAAGATTCCTGGTGCAGACAAAGCAGAGCATCTGACAGGTTGCCATCATGTTTTTGAAAGATAAGGTGTCCCAGGCATCTTGTACCTGGACACAGATTCAGGCTATTCAGCCTGTGCAGCACTTGCTGGAGGTTCCACTGCATTGAGAGAATTTTTTCTTCCATGAACAGCAAGTTAATTAAGCTCAGTTTTCATACAGTTTTGCGTCAGACATTCCCTTCACCTCTCCTCTGAAACAGTTTCATGGCTCCCTCTCCTTTTTTATCTCCAAGGTTCCTGGTACCTCCAAATCTCCTTTCTATGCCCCAAACTGCTTTGTATTGGCTTTCTGTCTGGAGCAGCACATGCTGTGCCTGGTTCAGGGATGTGTGTGCTCTGGCTGGCCAGCTGCCTGCTGGTTCTCTACTGCCAAGGAAGCCAAGCAGTGCTGATAAGGGCTGGACTTTCTCTGCCTTTCTCCCGGGCAGAAACATGGCAACACGTTTCTTTTCTAATGCAGCCGCTGTTTGCCATGAAATTCAAAAGACTGTGTATTTCCAGGGGCTCTGCATCTCCCCTAGGTGTGGTTGAAACAGGTCAACAGGCTGACAAGCTTAGACTGCACAACGGTGACACAAAAAGCACCAATTTATGTGTAAACCTGCTTTCTCTAGGAAAGGAAATTGCAAGCAGCAGGAGAACAAAAGCTTCTTCTGGAAGCTTTTCCTTCATGGAAGAAGGTGGCATCAGGGCTGCAAATCGCAGAGCTCAGAAGTGGTGGCTGTAGAGAAGGCAGGCAGGATGTGTATCTGCTATAGAAGCAGTTCCAAGATGCACACTTGCACTAATTTAGGTTGGATATAAAAAATAAGGCTTTTTTATTATGGGGGTAGTGAAGCACTGGCACAGGTTGCCCAGACAGGTGGTGGATGCCCCATCCCTGGTAACACTCAAGATGAGGTTGGACAGGGCTTTCAGAAACTTGATCTCATTGAAGACATCTCTTCCTTTGGCAGGGAGGTTGGACTGGAGGACCTTTAAAGGTCCCTTCCAACCCAAACCATTCTATAATTCTGTGAAATAGTACTTGATTTAGTAAAAACAAACTGAAAAACTTCAGCCTTGGTACCAAAGCTGGATATTGCTAGGTTGTATTAACTAATCAGAGAACCACAGAACGGTTTGGGTTGGAAGGGACCTTAAAGACCATTCAGTTCCAATCCCCCTGCCATGGGCAGGGACACCTTCCACTAGACCAGGTTGCTCCAAGCCCCGTCCAACCTGGCCTTGGCCTTCCAGGGATGGGGCAGCCACAGCTTCCTTGGGCAACCTGTGCCAGGGTCTCACCACCCTCACAGGGAAGAATTTCTCCCTAATATCTGACCTAAATCTTCCCTCTTTTAGTTTAAAACTATTCCCCTTTGTCCTGTCACTATCAGCTGTGTAAAAAGTTGCTCTCCGTTTCTTTTATAAGCTCCCTTTAGGTATTGAAAGCCTTCAGTGAGGTGTCCCTGGAACCTTCTCTTCTCCAGGTGAACACCCCCAGCTCTCCCAGCCTGGCTCCAGAGCAGAGGGGCTCCAGCCCTTGGAGCATCTCTGTGCCTCCCCTGGACTCGCTCCAGGTCCATGTCTTTCTCAAACCGTGGAGTTCAGCACATTTTGGACATCAGCAGTTAGGTACAAATGGTTGACAGGCCCATTTGGATTTGAACCTGCAGAGGAGGAGCAGGAGCATCTCCCCCAAGATCCCCCAATGTGTCTGAGAGGATCAACATCCTCACAAAGGACACCCATGTGCAGAGACTGGAACAGCTCAGTGGTATTTCACGGTCATCTGTCTGCTAGAAAGAGCAAGGGCAATTGAGCAACTTGGTCTGGTGGAATGTGTCCCTGCCCATGGAATGAGGTGACCTTCAAGGTTCCTTCAAACCCAAACCATTCTGTGTTTCTCTCAAATAATCTAAGAACTAAAAAAATATGCTGAAGCATTAGCTGGCTGTGCTATGCAACAGAGAATACATGTTGACTTCCCAAAGCCTGTGACCAAATCCTGTAAGAGGTAAAAGAAGTACAACACCAATATCAGATAACTTCAAAGACACCTAGGATTTCTAAATGGCCCGACACTATCAGATATGACTGTGTGGAGTGGAGGTAAGTGTGGAGAGCAATGCCAGGAAGACAGGGAGTTGTGATGCAAAACGGTCAGCCAGCATGTTCAAGACAGGAAATATTGTGTGACTGGGGGAACTCTCATCAAAGTCTGCAACTTCCTCACAAGTGGAGGTGGCAGGGCAGCACCGATCTCTGCTCTCTGGTGACCAGTGACAGGACCCAAGGGAATGCCTGGAGCTGTGTCAGGGTAGGTTTAGGTTGGATCTCAGGAAAAGATTTCCTCCCCCAGAGTGTGGCTGGGCACTGAGCAGGCTCCCCAGGGCAGTGGTCATGGCCCCAAGGCTGCCAGAGCTCAAGGAGTGTTGGGACAATGCTCTCAGGTTCAGGGTGGGATTGTTGGGGTGTCCTGGGCAGGCCCAAGGGGTTGGACTCAATGATCTCTGTGGGTCCCTTCCCACTCAGGATTTGCTATATACTTCTGTGTGTAAAAATGACCACAAATCCAAGGAAAACCACTGTTAAATGCTCCCAGATTTCTCAGCTCACTCTGTTGAAGCACTATCATGTACTTCAGTAAGTGCTTTGCCTCTTGCCTCACTGGTTGCAGTGCTGCTTCCCTGCTTACTCTAAATGCCACTCGAGCATGTTATTTTCTCTCTATACTTATGAAAGTAGCTTTCCTCCTGCCCAAATCTGCCAAAGATTATGAAAGAGGAGATGGTGCTGGGTCTGGAAGCTGGGAAAGGGATGGATTCCCTTTCACTCTGCATTATTTCATTATTTCATGGCCTCTCCGTGCCATTGCAGGACTGCAGAACAGCACAACACTGGCAAAAGCCTCCCCTGTTTTTGCTACCAGCGTGAAAAAACTCCTGAAGGACTGAGACTGTGTCTCCCTCAGAGGGTTAAATATGGATTTAAACCCTTTTTCCTTGTATCTCATCAAGGTTGTACACAGCTCCACACCATATCAGCTCTTGTGGCAGCACAAAGAGGGCTAAAAACAAAGCCACACTCTGCTTATCCCATCCCATCACGAGGAACATGTCAGTTGATTTTGAAGGGAACCAATGTCTGGTGTACTGTCCAAACAGGCATTGCATTGAAGTGACCAGAGGAGAGCTTTAGCATCGTAAATTAAAAGAAAGCCATTGCATGAGGCATAAAAATCTCCATAATGAACAGGAACTTTACTCAGTCATACCAGCATAGATTAAATACTCACAAAATTAATCAAACTTTTAAAAAAGTGCTGCAACTTAAGGCTGGAAGTAGTGGCAAAATAACATTAGAAAAGGCATTGCATATTTCTATTCTATTCACCTTTTCAGTAATGAAACCATTCATTATTTCAGTAATGAAATTAATAATCTCTGAAGCCTTGAAACTCAAATCTGCTGATCGCCTCTTCTTAAATGCAGAAGTATGTTTCCAGTATTACACAAATCACTGTCACTTCAGACCGGGCTGTTAGGAGATTTCAAAACAAAGAAAAAAAAAAAAAGAGAAAAAAAAAAGGAATCAGTTCCACAGTGAATAAAATATTGAGAAAAAATAGAATTTGACAGCCCCTGATGTAAGCCTGCTGTGTCTGTCCTATCCCCCCGGCAAAGCAGGCTTAAGAAATAACTACTATTCAAAATAATGTTCTAAAAGCAAGGTTCTGCCTTTCTGACCCATCACAGCATGAACTGGTTGGTGTTTGTGTTATAAAGTACATTACATTTGTCAGAGGGAATGGAGTTAGACAGTAATCCTTAGAAGTGGCATCCTCCTTAAGACGTTCACAGCACAATGTATCTGCTGTGTATCTGCTCACGTTCTTCATTTACGCTGTATAATCCTGATCAGTAAATTATTTAACTACCTTATCTTAATTCCCAGTGCCTATGTGCACATAAACCCAGTTGCCCTGACTAACATGAAGCAGAATGATTTGAGAGACAGCTTTGCCACTGTCGGACACTTGAATTTTGAATTCCTTTGCTGCATTGACTTGCTTGAATTTGCACTGAAATGGACAGGGAACTTTCCTGCACTGAAACTGGCCCTTCTTTCCCCAATTGTTCTGTTTTTTATAGCTTAGAAACATTTCATGTTGCCAGCATTTCCGTTTTTAACTCAGATTATCCCTCTATCCTTTCTTATTATTCCAAATGCTGCACCATTCATCTTCCTACATCCTTTATTTTGGATTTGTTGATTAGAAACACATTTGTGCTAACCCCAAATAAGCCATCATTAAAGTGAAATAGCCTTGTTTACAAAGAGATTTACACAAGTTCATTGACTTAAATAAACAAGTGTAATTTGTGAGTAGGCCTGGGGGACAATAGCTTTGATTCTAAATTAGTGGTAGGCCTTGGTCCAGGAAGGATTTGAGTACGTGTTTAAATCTATGAAGTGAACAAGCCAGTGGAATCAGTCATAGGAACAAAATTCAGCATAAATGCAAACATGATATGATTAAATTTTTGATCATCCTTATTTTCTTTTTCTGTTTGCTTTTTCCAGCAAGCTGAAATTAATTCATTACAATGAAATCCACAAAATAATTAAGAAGAAAATAGTTTGTGCCTCCGTAGGAAGGATCAAAATAAACCAATTTATGCTATGATCAGTTATTGCAATACAGTCTGTTTCTGCTTTACACTGTGTAAGATGCACTATGCTAATTAAGCATATGTTTGTATAGATTAGTCTCAATGAGATTTACCCCAGTTTTCTACACCATCTGTGCAAGATTGGTAGACTAGTTGGAAGTGATCTCTGTATACATTGTCTGTACTAGCTGAAGAAGTGTTTAGAACACTTAGAGGTAGAAGTTTTCTTTTCGTTATTACTGGTCTAGCAAACCTTTAGTTACGGATTTTGAGCGTTTTCCTTGTGCTTTCAAAAACTAGTGATTTAAGGCAATATCAATTTAGAAGTTATGATTCAAAGTTATCATTTTAAAAGACCAAATAAATCAAGGAAGAATTTAAAGAACCTGACAAATCCTTTCCTGCTTAGTTTTATTTAGAGATATGAAACATGCATTACTGCTATGGAGGGGAAGATACCACCAAGTATAAATGTTGCCATAATGAAAAATTAGGCCTTAAAAATAATCTGGGAGTTTATCACTACAAAACTGTCATGTTGTTTATTTTAGCTCTTGGCATTTATCATGATGAATAACTGATGCATGAAAAAAAAAAGTCTATCCTCCTAACAGTGCTTGAAGCCAACTGATGGCTTTTTCTGTGTAATCCCCAGGGAAGCCTGTGTCAGAACCTCTACCCTGGCACTCCATGTTACCAGGGGCTGATTTCCTTGACTGGGGGGACAGAGGAAGGAGCTCTTTGCCCTGGACAGCCCTGGTGTGATGCTGTGACAGAGGATGTTGGGAAGAACACGAGGAGCTATCCCTGCCTATGCTCTTCAGTGTAAGAGTTTTGTCCTAGTTTTGTCCTCACCCAGTTCAGGATCAAGTTGGTGCAAGAAGGTGTTGCAGGGCACACATGCTCTCTCAGTACAGCAAAACCCACTCTGCAAAAGTAAATTTTGCCCCATTTTACACTTAGGAAGCGTTTTTCTGGCAACACAGACAAGCTCTCACCAAGAAATGGGAGATCCTGGTGCCATGTTCTGGTTAAAAATCAACATTTTACCGGTCTTCAAATTTATGACTAAGACAGACCATTACAACCACCTACTACTACATGTTGCTCACTTCAAAGTCCAAATAATTTCCCCCAAGGGATCCCTCTTCGGGTCCGTGGCCCTTGCAGCTCTCATCTTTTGCAGAAAAGGCAGCAAACCCGGGATGAGAAGTTGGTGTGGTGCAAATGAGGGCCTCTCTCTTTTGTCTTCACGCCATTAGATCTCATTATATCTTTTTTATTGGTTTAAGTTTGTTACACTGATGTCTTCTCATAGAAATCTTTATCACATTTAAGTATTTGGCGACCAAGAGAGAGTCACACCTCAGTGGGTTGGGGGTTTTTTTTAAGTACACAAGCTAAACCGAGTTTCTTTGGTCTTTCCCTGTTAAGGAGGGTTTTCAAACTTCCATGTTTATCCAAAATCCTCTTTACAACTTGCTTTTTAAAGTATGGACGCTGAAACTGTGAACAGTCCTTTAATTAATTCACAGTATTACACTTCTCTGCCTTCATTCAGTTGTCTTCTGTTTATGCATTCAAAAGCCCCATTTCCTCTCTGGGCCACTGTCTGAAACTGGGAATGGATACAGTGACCTGTGAATCCGTTTTAAAGCCACTGCTTTCCAAAATGCAGCCCCTGCTCTTCAAGTTGAGATGTGCAGCCCTGATTCCTTCAGACAGCTGTCTTAAAACCACCAATCTGAGCGACTACATTTGCTGCACTGTGCAGAGTGGCCTGTAAAAGTAATTTGTCAATATTTATGAAACATGGCAATAGGAAAAGACTCCCAGCTTCCAGCCACCGGCAACGACAGCTTCTGAATTTTCAGACCTTCATACTTGCAGGTGAGGAAAGGTCAGACACAAATGAGACCTCAGATTCTTTAGAGAGGTATTGCTAGTGGAAATGGAAATGGAGAGCCGTGTCTTCTGGTAGATGTGACCAAAGCGAACCCGAAACTGCGGTCTGGCTGAGTTAGCTTCTTTATGCAAGTTTGACATGGCTGCAGGCAAACAGATTACAGATCATATAGTTTTAAGCACCAGGGATAAGGAAATCACAACACACCGGCTGCAAAAGTCAGATTCAGAATTAATCAGCCTGTTGATATGTGTCACAGCAAGGAATGGGGCCAGAACAAGCTACAAAAGATGAAAACCTTGGAAAACATGGAAGGGGCACACATGGACAATAAATAGGAGCAGCACCTGAAATAGAACTAGTAGTCTGCAAAGAGAAAGAAACAAATGAATAAGGCTAACACCCAATAATCATGTGTTCATTCCAAGATAAATCGCTTTCCAAGCCTGCACAAAGAACAATCTGCAGCAATTCGTAATCTACAGCAACTGGAGACAAACAGTAACAGCCTTCGGAAGGAGCATCTTGCTCCCTATCCTCTGGCTTTAAGATTAAAGTAAAAAAAATCCAATCAACCAACCAAAAATGAAAACAAGTTTGCACCTCAAGCAATGTCAAGGCAAGAGGTGTTCCAAGGACAACCTCCTTTGCAGAATGAATGCAAGTGTCTTTCACAAACTTAAAAGCTAAATTAAGAATTTAAGTGAGGATTTAAGGTAGGTTTTTGCAGTTATTTTCACTTAAGGACCCACCTTGTCCTCTGTGTATAGTTTCAACCTTTGCGGTGTTGAGTGTAGCCACAGGCTTCTCCTTAGATAACAGAGGGAATGTTTGTGCTTTTGCAGCGCAGGGGCTCAGAATTTAGCCCAAGCAGTCCTTGTGGGTGACTTTATCACAATGCAAAGCTTTGGAGGACCTTGAGTTGGGTGCAATCGTTGTTGTTCAATTTTGTGTATGAAGTTCAGCTGACCACTGGCCTGACAGTGAGAAAAAAAAGCCCTGCTGAAGTGAAAGAAAACAGAAGAGTCATCTGGAAAGCCCCTTCCAGGATGTGTCTATAATTTAGTCAGAGCTGAAAGCCTCTTGACTGAGCTCGGTAGCTCAGGGTTTGCGGATGCTGTAACCAGAGTTCAGGGCTGGCTGCTTACCCAGGCCCTGGGTGGATTTTGCAATGGACCAAACTCGGTGTTACAGGTGACTACACTGTTTGGGGAGGAAGGGAGTCGGGGAATGTCAGTCTGAACTCTGTCCCCTCTTAAGAAACACAGAGGAGACATGCCTCGAGCGGGTTTAGAGTCCAGGAGTCATTCTGCCCGATAAAAGTGCCCAGCACAAACCCTAATGACTCTGCCGATGGGCACTGGCAGCTGTGGTGCTCCGCGTGTGAACTGCCCTCTCCTGGAAATGCCCAGAGAAGTGACAGCCGGTGTGCTCGGGCTTCTTTCTGATTGTCCTTTCCTGACTGCTGTCTTCTCATCCTCCAGCCGATGTTTCTGCTACTTCTCCTGTAGCTGATCCAGAGGAAAAGCTTCTGTAGTCCCTCACCTACGACGTGTCACTGCCAGACAGCTGATTGTCAGCCTACCTGTGGGACTGTCTATACCCAGTGATGTGCTGTCAAATGCACAGAGTTAACAAAGTGATAGGGGAGAATGTTTTCCCCGTGAATCCTCTCTCAGTCATGATCTCGGAGCCTATTTGTGTCAGTGGCAGGTACAACATTTTCAGATGAAGACACGACTTGATGAATGAACTCTGCTTCTTTAAGATGCTCTAGGTTGCCTTTTTTTTCCCCAGTCCGTCCCTTTCATCACCTTAGGCTTAAATAAATTCCCCAGGAACATGCAGTTCTGCAGTTACAGGTAGTTTGCACTTATTTAACAGCTAATATCAGTAGATAATGGTCTCCTGCTGCTAGATAAAGTCAGAAGAAAATCTGTGACAATTTACATTTGGCATACATTTAAACATTAGGGCTAGTAGCTTGGAAAAAAACCCTTCTATTTTTAAACGGAACATCAGTTTCTCTTATTACCTTGCTTCTCAGCAAAAGGGTGAGAAGCACCAGCACCATTTACAGTTCCAGACAGGTAAGATTGTTCCCATTAATGAATCCTGCCATTCCCCTCTCCTGTCTTTTTGCCCCTTTTCTGAGCATGATGACTTAATGGTGTCTGGTATGGCTCAAATCACGACCCAGCTACGGTCTCATCTGGATCCACTGACGAGGCTGTCAGGTCACTTATGAAATGCTTCACCTGGAAGATCTCCCTGCTCTGAGCAGGGAGCTGCATCGCCACAGCCACTGTCTGAGGCAAGAACAAACCCTGGAGAGGGGAGGTCAGGGCAACAGGGCCAACCTCATTCCCATGAAAGAATATTTGTAGCACAGTTTTGTCTATTTTATATATATGTATATATAAAATGGCATTTGGGGGATTTAGAGGCTAGACCTGTGCTGGCTTTTGAGGCTGCCTTGAGGCTACCTCCAACACCAAACCCCTACAGACAGATGGTGGGATGCACTTCACCAAATGTTAGAAGTTAGACGTCAGAGTCCAAGTTACTCACCCTAAACTGTCTAGAGGAGAGTTCATGCCTATTTTAGGGGTTGTTTTAGAGTGGGATGAATAACCCACCAGGAGTTCCTATTATTCTACACTGACTATAAAGGAAACCTCTCAACTTTTAGGTACCTCAGGATGCTTCAAATCTGCAAGCCTGGCTCCAGCCACGCAGCAGAGTATGGAGGGTCCAAACCCATGGGGTCTAAACCAGGAACTGGGCCTAAACCTGACCACAGCAGCACGACTTTCCCCCTCCTGCAGCACTGTGAGCAGGTCAGCAGTGCCTGGTGTGTGTCCCACACCAAGGAGCTGCAGCCAGAGGCTCCGGCTGGTGTGGAATGAGCAACACCCAGAGAGTACCAGACTTTCTGCTTTCAAAACAGGGCGGGCACGTGAAAAGCGCTGCTGCAAATTGTCCCTGGCCTGACCTAAATCCCAAACCATGCCCGAGACTTGTCTGGAAAAGTGCAACTGGCCCAGGGCCCAGCCTTTGCCGGGGACTGCAGCAACCAGAGAGCATGGACAAGGGAGCTCTGCGTGCTGGGCTTTCCCATTTGCATCTACGTGGTCCTGGGATCAGACTGAGCTGCCCCAAGGCCTTGGCACACTTTCCTGCTGCAGAGCAGGCCAGACATCCTTCTTGGAGTAACTTGGAACTATCCTTTGGTAGGATAGTAGATACTAGGCAACAAGCTGGGGCACAGAGTGGGAGTTTTGGGGTTTTCTGAAGGTTTCATGTTTGGGTGTGTTCATTTGTTTTGTTTGGGATTTTTTTTTTTATTTGACTTTTTTTTAATGTACTGGGAAAAAAACCAGTTCCAAACATCTTCAAGACAATCACAAGATCAAACCTCAACTCTCCAAAGGCAGACAGGTACACTGTCACAATAAACTCAAGAATTAAAATACATTTCTGTTGACTGTGAGGATGTCTATCTGGCATGAGAATCTCTGGTGTAACACCATAGTGCCCAGCTTAGCTGGGAAAACTGTATGACAAGCTCAGGACAGGGATTGATCCAGGAGCTCTGGAATTCCCTTCCTTGCTGCTCTTGCACAACATCACTGCTTGCCAGCTGTTGCCTTTGCCTACTGTTCTTCATCCTTCTTATTGTACATTTGCATTACAGTGTGTACTGGAAGAGAAGACTAGGAAACCTCAGTAAAATTTTTTTTTGCCTTTTGATATTTTATTTCTTTCTGTTTACACAGCTTAACATCTAGATGTCAGGTATTCTCCTATGGGACTGCCAAGGGGTCCTACGAGGGGATTTAAGATTTACTTCTGGTTATATCCAAAGTAACCCCTGTTTTGCTGCCCTTTGTGTCAGTGGGCAACCATCCATATTTGTCAGCTTTCTTCCTGACAGCATCTCCATCCTGCACGAGACGAAGGAGCTGGTGTGTGGTTGCAGCTTGCATAGACACCCCCCCTTCACAGAGAGCCAGTAATTGTTAAATAAATTATATGCTTTATTGTCCGCATGTTAATAACTCTAATCCCACCTCCAACTACCAGGTTTAGAAATGTGATTAGGGAGGATTATACCTCACCTAATGCCTAATCGGTTGTCTGTTCCTAGCTGGCCTTTTATTTCCACACACGCAACACAAAGGCTCTAATCAAACATCTCACACGCATGGAAAATGCCGAGCGAGTTAAAAATCAGTCGAATGAGAGCAGGTAACAGCTAGAAACCAGACATGACTGACACATCAACCAGTGTGGTTACGGCTCTGGGCAGCACCCAAACACTCCCTTCACACCCTGACCATTTATTTAGACTGATTAAAACCCAAAAGGGCTGGAGGTAGATCTCTGCCAGACTGGTTTTCTGGTTTGGGTTTGGTTTTTTATTTCAGACCAAATGTGTTTCTTTTTTTTTTTTTTTTTTTTTTTTATTTCCCCACACAATTCTTGGTTTTATCTTGCTTTACGTAGGAAAATATGTATACCTTTTCCAGCCACACTAGTGGGCAGGTTGGTGAGTGCCACATTCAAGAGTGGCCCTCACAGCTGATCTCTGAGCACAGCTCCTTGCTCCCTGTCTTGATATGAGGCTCAGTTGCCACGATGTGGCAGCAAACACGAAGCGACATCCCAAAGCAGTCCAGGGGCTGAATTTCAGTGAGGGGGATCACAGGATACGATGTCTTTACCCCTTGACCATGCAAGCTGAAATGACCATCTACTCCACCTGACTGAGTGTTCTCTTCACACAAGCACCCAGAAAGAATCACCTCTTCCCCTCACAAAGACAAGGGCAGGCAGGCAGCACCTTGTGGAATTCCCCAAGTACTTATAACACCAAGGGAAATGGATTAATGAGAACCAGTAGTGTCTAGAAACTCTTCCAAAAAAAAACCTGAAGGACCAAGCCCTTCCCTGCCGTGGGGTTGCATAGCCCTCTTGAACACCATCAGCTGGTTATCCAGCAGAGGCTTAGCTCCTCTTTCTTGGAGCACCAGGACTCTCTGCTTTCCCCTCCCTTCAGCACATCCACAACCCCAGCAGCTGCTCTTGGCCAGGCAGGGCCAGAGGGACCCAGCAAGAGGTCACAGGGGTTAGAGTTCATCTCTGGTAGCACCGATCCAAGCAAGATTTGTCCAGTCTGTGTACTGCAACAAGAAAAGGATGTGTAGCTGTGAAGACCACAGAGATGTTCCGAGGGCTGGAGCTCCTCTGCTCTGGAGCCAGGCTGGGAGAGCTGGTGGTGTTCAGCTGGAGAAGAGAAGGTTCCAGGGAGACCTGAGAGCCCCTTCCAGTGCCTAAAGGAGCTCCAGGAGAGCCGGAGAGGGTCTTGGGACAAGGGATGGAGGGACAGGGCAAGGGGGAATGGCTTCCCAGTGCCAGAGGACAGGATAGATGGGATATTGGGAGGGAATTCCTCCCTGTGAGGGTGGTGAGGGCCTGTCCCAGGTTACCCAGAGAAGCTGTGGCTGCCCCTGGATCCCTGGAAGTGTCCCAAGGCCAGGTTGGATGAGGCTTGGAGCAACCATGTCTAGTGAAAGGTGTCCCTCCCTGCCCATGGCAGGAGTTTTGGGGTGAAATGACCTTTAAGATCCCTTCCAACCCAAACCACTCCGTGATTCTACACATTTGTTAAAACTAAAAAACAAAAAATAAATTAAAAAAAAAAAAAAGGAAAGAAATCCCAGATTTTCAAGTGGTTTCCTGTTGTTGGTGTCTTTTCTTTCAATAAAATGAATTATAATTTGTTTTGAGGTTTATTATTACAGCACCCCTCTGAGGTCTGAAGAGTTGATAGCCCTGTGGAACTTGGGAAGAGTTGGTGACGTTGGTTTGCCTACAGTGCTTGCTATCAGGAAAATAGGGGATTATGCTGGGGGGAGAAGAAAGGAGCATATATTTGTCAGAGAACTGAAATTACACCCTGAAGAGCAACATAGATGCAAATCAAAGCGTGATGATCAAGAAATACCCAAGGATTTACCAATTCTGGATTAGAAAGAGGATTTCAGCCATGTATTTCAAATCTCTAATCTCGAGTGAGCAAGTAATCTAAATCCACCTAATAACAGTGAATGAAATCATAGCTTAGTTAAGTAATTACTCCTTTTTTTCCTTCATATCGTTCAGTATAAGTATCTTTCATGAGCTTTCATTGAATCATTAATTTGCATCGCAATGATTTTAACTATTGAGTTTTAAATATCTGTTTTGATGGCTGATCAAAACCAAACTTGGTCTCTATTTTTAGTTTTCGGTGTTGAAAAAAAAAAAACCCACTGAACATCCTGTGGCTGATGTAACCCGAACTGCTTCCTTGCAAGACCTCTACCTTTGAATTTACCCCCTTGGCTGCTTCAGGGAACTACAGGTGGGCACTAAATGTTGAAGTAGACGGACACGGATGGGTTGTGGTAGAGGCTGTATCCAGTCACCTTTCTAGTGGGCACCCCGAAGTCTGATCTAACACAGTCCAGAGATGCTGTTAAAGCAGTTTCAGTGAGGCAGTACATGGGAATTCCAGCTGAGGACCAATATAACACAGTAGAAGCTGGGAGATGCTGTGCTAGCAGCTGAGCACAAGACTGAGCCTGCTTATGCCTGGGCACAAACTTAGAATAAGTGCTGGAGGAGGGGAATCAAGGCATATCTTAAGATGCCCCGTCCCTGGCAGCGTCCAAGGCCCGGTTGGACAGGGCTTGGAGCACCCTGGTCTATTGGAAGGTGTCCTTGACCATGGCAGAGGGGTTGGAACAAGATGATCTCTAAGGTCACTTCCAACCCAAACTATTCTGTGATTCCTAGAAGAGGGACCCAAAGAAAACGGAAGCATCTGTGAACCTGCTGTATGGCTGAGTGCAGAGAGAGGCAGTGACCAGAGAGACCCAGGTCTGAGCTTTGCTAAGGAGTGAAGGAGCCTGAGTCTACACTTAACTCCATTCTGGTATGTGCTATGATTTGCCTCATAAGTGATTTCAGTCTTAGGGAAGAAAAAATAAATCAAAACCCCAAGGAGTGGTGGCTCAAGGAGTGTGGTGGTGGTGTGATGCCTCCTGTGCCCAATGCCTGCTGGGGAATCATAGGATGGTTTGGGTTGGAAGAGACTTCAAACATCATTTACTTCCAACCTCCCTGCCATGGGCAGGGACACCTTCCACTAGACCAGGTTGCTCCAAACCTTGTCCAACCTGGCCAACACTTCCAGAGGTGGGGCAGCCACAGCTTCTCTGGGCAACCTGTGTCAGGGCCTCAGCACCCTCACAGCCAAGAATTTTTTCCTAATATCCAAGCTAACATTGCCCTCTGTTAGTTTACAACCATTCCCTCTTGTCCTGTCACTACATACTCCTGTAAATGTCCCCCTACATCAAAATGTAACCCTGCAGTAAGCTAGCACACCCATCCTCCTGTGAGCCTGAAACCTCTGGGTAAACCACACCCTACTGAGACAAAGAGAGGTGTTCACACTTTCACCTGTGATCATCCATTCCTCCCCGTGTCCTCCAACCTGATCCCTCTCCAGCTGCACCCAGGGTGCAGAGCTTGCCTGGAGCCCGTGGGAGCACAGTTATGTCAAACACTACTCGGATCTTCCTCTTGCTTCCACATCTCCCAGCTGGCTCAAAAAGTTGTGGCCTATGATTTTCTAACCAACATAATACAGTCTTGGCTGTTCTTGTAGCCACAGAGGGGTAGTTTTTGGAGACAGGAGTAAGTGGGAGTTAAAAATACTGAAGGAAAAACATAGGCAAACAGCACGGATGAGATGAGCAGAACTGGGAGATAACACAGATAAAAGTTTGGTGATCAGGCCCTGACACAAGCCAAACTTTTGCCTCAAAATCTACTTCACCAGGACAGCAGTATATCCTCCTGGAGGAGCCAGAGCCTGGGTGTTTCAATCTCTCCACACAGAAAACAGCTTTTAAGGCCATGTCCAGGAAGGCAGCAGAAACTTAGGGCTAACACACTTCAGCAGCTGCTGCATTACCTCTCCTGTCACAGAAGTTTCCAGCATAGAGACCATCTCACCAGCTGTCTGACGACTCTCAACACCAAGCAGGGGAAAATGCTGCCTACTTGTTCACTTCTCCCCGTGAAAATGACTTCCCCATCAGCCTCCAGCTCTGTCCTCTGCTTCTGATTGATCCACAGGCGGCTTTTTTTTTTTTTTTCAGCTGTCAGACTTTTTTCCTCCTCTCTGCCTTTGCAGGAGATGAAAATTCAGCTGCTGGATGAATGCTTACCTGCAAATTGGAGAAAGTGCATGACAAGAAGGGGGAACATGCTTGTGCCCTCCTTGTTCTTGCAAGGAAGGAAAGCAAGACAAGCAAACCTGTTCTTCAAAAAGAAAAATTAGACAACAGCAAGATTCTTTTTCCCCACCGTTATTTGTATTTTGCCTCAGCTGTATCTTGGGTGTGAGGATGAGTATTAGTGGCAGGGACCTTTGAGGGCTTCAGGACACAGCTCGGGCTTGACCAGACCACAAGCAACACACAGCAACAGACTCAGGGGCCACTCTCAGGGCAACCAGAGCGCTGCCGAATCAGGCATCTGAATCCCTTTTTAGGTGTCCACATCCAAAATCCAAGCCCTGAATATTCATTTTCAGCCACTGCTGATGCTTGTCGTCATCTGTCAGGCCCTGACCAAACCACCCAAGTCCCTGCAGTGGCACCATTCCCCACCGTCCCCTCCACGCTCACTCGTGG